TCAAGAAATATCACATTCGTAAATAATTAAGCAGTATAGTAAGTAAACGAGATCTAAAACAAATTAGTTTAAGCAAAGAACAATGAATATACCAGGACTTGATTTTTCAATGCTGCAATGTGCAAAACTGTATTCCCTTCCATATCCTTCCATCTCAGCACATCTTCTCTTCCCCTCCTTCTGAGCCACCCCAAGATGAGATTAAAAGCCTCGCAATTGTTATTTTCCAATGCAACATGTGCCACAGATTGGAACCTGTTAGTCAAATCCTCGATGGAATCTGGGCAATCATAGATAAACTTTGCTAATTGATCGACTCGATTTGTTTTGGCAGCATAGTGTAATGGAGTCATCCCTTCCCGTCCTTTGACACGGATAAGTCCTTTGTCAAGTGATATCAGAGCTCTAACGGTTTCATCACGGTTTTCTAGTAAGGCGAGATGAAGTGGGCTCAGACCTTCGCTGTTGAGCTTCCTGCCAAAAGATGGCATTAGATTCATGATTTCAATGGCATAATTTGTATACCCTGCTGCAGCCACTAAATGCAAGGGAGTGTTGACGAATTGGATTTCATCGAAACTCTCCAAGTATTTAGGATTCTGCTGGATCATGAAATACAAGCCACTGATGTCTCCTATTCTAGCATACTCCAATAATTGCATCTCTACCTCATCCATTTGAATTAGTGAATTAATTGTTTATGCTGTAAATCAACTTTTCATGAAGAAAATTGTGCTGTTCTAGGTTAAGAAGGCGAGTTAGTACATAAATAAAGCATATGTTTGAATGACGTTGTAGTGATGATGTAGATTTTTTTTGGTTGTGACATCGTCTGGGGCGGACCTGGGGTGGCCTGGGGGGCAAGTGCCCACCCACCCCTCCCAAAAAAAGAAATTTTTTTTGAATTTTTTTTTTTTTTTTTAATATGAAAGGAAAAGGAATGAACATTCATTTCAAACCAATGTTTTCTCTCTTGAGTCTCCTCTTCTCATTTTCTTTCCTTTTTTTCATGGTAAAATTAAGGTTATATATTGTTAAATGGATACGAGAATGGTTGTGATAATACTGAATGACTGAACGAGAATAGTTCAAAACTTCAAATTTCATTTATCTTTATTTAAATTGTTTATAGTTACTCTCAAAGAGT